GCGGGGCCGGGCAGGCCCCCACGCCGGAGCTCGCCTTGCATCTCGCGGGGCAGGCGACTGCCTTCTTCCGCGAGCCGCGCCTCGCGCACTCTCCCATGCGCTCCATAAGGCGCTCAGCAAGCGGACAGTCGCCGACGCCCAGACCTTCGCGACGCTGCCGTTCATCGCCGATTGTCGCGACCTGCCCCGCCAGCTCAATGGCGGTGTCCAGGGCGCAGAGACAGGTTGCGCAACTCCCCTCGCCGCTGCTGCCTCCGCCGCTGCCGGAGCAGGTCACGCAACGCCGCGACCCAACTGCGGCTGCCATGGGACATGCACCTCCAAGTCGACGAGCCGCGCAGGCCGCTGCACCCAGTGAGACTTTTGCCAATCTCTAGCATCCAGGCCTGCGCTGAAAATCCGCCAACCCCGCGGGCGGGGGGAACCTGGCCTGCGCTGGCTGCAGCCAGAACTGGAGGCGCGCCGCTCGATCGCTGGGCGGCGCCCATCCGCGACATCTCCTTAGTTGGACGAAGAGGACAATAGAACGAGGAGGAACACGAGGGGAAAGAGGAGATGGGCAAGGAGAAAAACGGAGTCCTGGGGCGCGGACGCAGCGTCGGACTCCTGCGCCACGTCGCCGCGCCGGCGCTGGATTGCGCGGCGAATGGCCCAGGGGGCAATTCAAGCTACTTTGCATTGCGAAGGCTGAGTGGTTGATCTCCGCCCATCACGGCGCGCGGCGAATGTTCGAGCACCCCCCGGAAGAACCCCTCGTCTGCAGGCGAGCCAGAAGCTCGAAGGGCCCCCCTCCCGACGCCGGCGCGCGACGGAGCCGCGTCGGAAAGAGGAGCTCCGCAGCGCTTCCCGGACAAGCCACTTGCCGCGCCACTGCCACGAGGCCGCGTCTGCGAGGGGCGCCTGCAATGGGCTGCGGCAGAGAAGACGGAGAAGGCATCGCATCGCTTCGGCTAGCAAGGCAACGCAGTCTCGCGTTGAGGATCACGGCGCACGACCCCCGAAAGCACGCTCCGATTGCAGCGCTTCCCCGAATCTTGTCGCTCGCGACGCGGAGCGCGATTCTCCCGCCGCTTTCCCTGTCACACCATGCCCGCGGGCAACCTTGACCATCTCGTCGCACGCGAGGCCAGGGGCCCTTCACCAGCGGCGCCCCCCGCCCCCCCCGCGCCAGCAACGCCCCCATGTCATTGGACGGCACTGCCTCGCGGGGTTCCGTCGGAATGCATCGCTGGGTCGCCGGCGCATCTTCTGCGCCCAACTCCTGGCGTTCGAGCACGCGCCCCCGCAATTTCGCGAGCCCCCCCCCCCCCCCCCTGGCCCGCCCTGCCCGTCGCCGGGCCGCCCGCGGAGCCCGAGTTGTCGAACGACGCGAGCAGGCGATCGACCGCCCTGTCGCGATCCGCTTCGCTCAACACGGGACAGCCTTCGGGCGGGCGGACGACGCGGCAGTTGCCCGCGAACTTGCCCCAGGAGTAGCGGCCGCCCTCACAGTCGGAGCCAACGTTACAGTCTCCGAGCCAGCCCACGGTGACCCCCTCCTCCGAGAACGCGGGCATGTACTTATGAGTTCACTGCAGACACCCTCGCGGCTGGATTCGACGGCGCCCATGACGCGCCAGTTCCTCCCCCAACAACCCGCCCAGTTCAACCCTTCCCCTCTCGAAACGTTGACGACGGACACCAGCTCGGCCGCCCTCGGGAACGTCGGGATGCCCCCCCGCTCCAGCAGCCCCGTGGCCGAGGTAAAGCATCTCCACGCGGCCCCCCAGGCTGCACCCCCATGACTTCTCATATCTCCAACCC